ACACCAGAAGTCAAGTCCGGCAGATCCAGCTTCCTCAGTCGGTCGACCAGCCAGGACCAGTCCAGCATGCGGTCCCACTCCCGGCCCCAAAGTGAACACCATTCTTCCAACAGTGTTCCAACGCGCATGACCCTGGCCTCACTGCAGAACCAACAACCCGTCGCACAGGACCCTGCTCAAGATCTGTCTAAAGAGGTCATGAAGAAGCAACTCGCAGACTTCAAGATTCCGTGGCAGGCGCCCACCGGCGGGTTCCCGTCAACCAAAGCGAACAACCCACACATGAAGACGCAGTTCAAAAATGCGTACTCGTCGACCGGATTTGACATGCTCGGAGTGCTGGTACGTATCGACACAGTGTACTGAGATTGACATACTGATATGCCAATAGATGCGCGTAGCTACTCGACCTGAACCCCAGATCGACATCGGCTCCGTTGATCTTTCGTGCGCTTTCGTCGTTTGCGATGCCGAGCTGGACGACATTCCCATTGTTTACTGCTCTGAGAACTTCGAACGACTGACCGGCTACACGAGACATATGATCCTCGGGCGGAATTGCCGTTTCTTACAAGCACCTGACGGCAAGGTAGAATCGGGTATCAAACGCAACTACGTTGACGATGATTCGGTATACTATCTCAAGAACATGATCGAGAGTCGTGCCGAGGCGCAGATCAGCTTGATCAATTACCGAAGAGGCGGCCAGCCGTTCATGAACCTGCTCACTATGATCCCTATCGCTTGGGAGCCTGGCGGCAAGATGAAATTCTTCGTTGGTTTCCAGGTCGATCTAGTCGAGCAGCCTGGAGCCATGACGAACAAGAACTCAGGTGGGCTTCCGCATCTAACACAACACCTCGTGTGTGAGCTGATCATGTTATAGACGGTTCGTACCGAGTCAACTACCAACGCGGAATGTCGATGCCCAGTTACGTTTTCAGCGACCACCACAAGCCACAAGCAGCCGAGCAAGGTCAGACCATTTCCAAGGATGAGGTGTCCAACGTGCTCGCTGCATACAGCGGTAGCGGTGACTCGGAGATGACCAGACGTATCTGGGACAAGGTCCTGCTTGAGAACAGCGACGACGTCGTCCATGTCTTGTCGCTGAAGGGACTCTTCTTATACCTGTCACCGGCCAGCAACAGGATACTAGAGTACGACCCAAGTGAGCTTGTTGGGACTGCCCTGTCTTCTGTCTGCCATCCTAGCGACATCGTCCCGGTTACACGAGAGTTAAAGGAAACCACAAACGGCGCATCGGTCAATGTCGTGTTTAGGATACGGCGAAAGAAGAGCGGCTACATGTGGTTCGAAGGTCACGGTTCCCTTCACACGGAGCAAGGCAAGGGCCGGAAATGCATCATCCTTGTGGGTCGCGAGCGCCCAGTCTATACTCTCAGCAAGGCTATCGTACGCGAATCCGGAGGCGTTGGTGACAACGAACTTTGGACCAAAATGTCTACGTCAGGCATGTTCTTGTACGTCTCGTCCAACGTACGTCAGTTACTCGACAAGCAACCCGAGGAGCTTGTGGGCACAAGCATACAATCTCTTATGCGCCAAGAGTCTAAGATCCAGTTCGGCCGTATCCTTGAGCTTGCCAGAGGTGGCAGGAAAGGTGAAGTCAAGCACGAAATGATCAACAAGCGTGGCCAGGTCCTCCAGGCTTTCACAACCATCTACCCCGGAGATGCAATCGAGGGCCAGAAACCCACCTTTGTCGTTGGTCAAACGCGACTTCTCAAGTATTCGCGAAATAGCAATGCTGGCCGCCCATCGATGTACACGAACACCAAGCATGAACGCGACTCTCATAACTCTGTACACACGCAGATGTCAGGAGCAGCATCGCCCGCCGCAGGATCTCTGACCGGCCACACCGGGTCAAATACGCCAAACACATCAAACACAAATCCTCTTTTCATCACTACCGAGGAATCGCCTGCGACGTTTGCTGGCCACAACGGTCTACAGCTTGGACACCAGGATCAAAGTCTTGCTTCAGACGATAACGTGTTCGACGAACTGAAGACGACACGAAGCACAAGCTGGCAATACGAGCTCCGACAAATGGAAAAGCGAAACCGATACCTGGCCGAAGAGGTTCAGAGCTTATTGGCAGCCAAAAAGAAGAGGAAGCGCAGAAAGGGCGCAGGTCAGATGCAGAAGGACTGTGCGAATTGCCATACAAGAACAACACCCGAGTGGCGGCGAGGTCCATCGGGCAACCGCGACTTGTGCAACTCGTGCGGACTACGGTGGGCTAAACAGGTAAGTTAATCTTCTCACATCTAGTCCACATAATCAAACTAACAGGGACACTCACAGCAAGGACGAGTGTCACCTAGAACGTCGTCTGCGGCCAGTGACAAGAGCAAAAAGAGTGCTTCGCCACGCCACTTTCCTACAAGCCACTCAAGTCATCAGACTATTCTTCCTCATGCGAAGACGGAGAGCGGACAACAGTCTACTATCCCTTCGCCAATGGCCACTTCCACCAAACGTTCGCCGCAACAAGGTAGCATCAGTGAGTCGCATGCTGCAAAGGCGCCACGTATAGAAGTTGCTGCTTCACAGGGCTTCATTCCCCCACCGTCGATCGATGAAGTGACGGAGCCGGAATCATAAGCACGACGGATCTGAACGTCGTCTTCTTACTTCTTCTTCGCGGTTTCTCTCTCCTGTTTCGTGTCATTCTCCGCTTTGGTCAAACGATACCCCATTACTTATATTCACTTTAACGAACTTCACATTCGCTTGCTCGAAGCGAGCTTCTCATGGGGGAGTTTTTAGACTCACATCCTTTTTCTTTCTATATCCGTTTGATGTTTTACGACTTGGGTCAACAACGTGGGGAAGGTTTGGCGTGTGGTCGAGCTATTCGACTGCGGGTTTCACAAATTGGAGGCTGAGAGATGAGGCGCAATATGCATGTACATGTCTTGGGCACACTTTATCAGGTGTCTTCTTATTCTGTTGTATATATCAACGACGTTTGGCAACGGTACGGGATGGCTTATCAGGATCGCGTGGGGCGCACGCGTACGGACGGTATCACTCATCAATCAATCAATCATATATGTCGCATCAGATCAGATCATGTCAAAATGAATAGTGGAACGCGATTGCATGACCTGGCTGAAGCGTCATGGCGAACCCCAACGTTGCCCTTGACCCATTAATTCTTTCGCATCTCTCCCCCACCCGCACATCTCGTCGATTCGCTTGTTTGCTCGCTCGCCTACGATTCGAGTCGAAGCGAAGTGACGCGACGCGACCATCCATCCCCGCCGCAATTGTGGCGTCGAGTGGCCTCACTTGTCATACGTCAAGTCAGATCATAACATCAACCGCTAACTAGGATAACAAGGCCCTTTTGCCCATATCTAGTGCGTAATCCTAGCATGTTTGCACGGCTGTTTGTTTGTACGAGGCGCACCGCAACTGCGCGGCTTCCAAGGTTGGCAGCGAACACGAAGTACGATAAGACAACGGGCATCCCAAGTCCAACCTACGACGCTGATGTCGGCCTTGTCCTCGCTTGGAGTCTGACAACCTGCGACAGGCGCGTGGGACATTGACAAGGTCGGGGAGGGTGTGTTGGATGTAGCCCTAGAATGCGCGTGATGTGGCGCTAGAACGCTGCATGTGTTCCACGGAAGCAGGAAGAGGAACACAACCGAACAGGGGGTTTGGCAGGAAGGAAGCTGGGCAGCATGCAGGTTCCCGGACAGTTAGCCCCGGCATCACTGGGTTTAGTTCCAAGTCTCTTGGACACATGGCAGATTACGTTCCATGGATAGCATCTAGATTTGGGGGGCCTAGGGAAAACGCCATGCCGAGTAACTCGTTGGGTATTCTCTGAGCCTAACCTAGATCTTGTGAGGAGTCGTTGGGTTGGGTATTGCGAGAACGGTAGTTGGAGGTGGGAAAAACTTCGTGTGCCTCGGCATCGAGACCCGTGGCCATGAGCTCCAATGACGAAAGCTCAAAGTTCAACATGGCAAATAAACTTTGGTCCATCGCACGTTGTTACCCACATGGCTTGGGCTCTGGCAGACTGCCTCCCTCGTTCCCCCCTCCCCAAGCCCGCTCCAGCCTCCCAATCAAACAAGTGGGGCCGTCTTCCGGGCTTGATCCTTTGGATCCTTCGATCCCCTGCGGCCTGAGCGTTCTGGCAGCGCCTTATCTGGGCTCTGATGTCTGTGGGTTTTCCTTGGTGCGTGCCATGACATGTCGAAGCGGCGCGCGCGATGCAAGGGTACAAGGGTCTGTGGCCCTCTTTCGCACCGAAACTTTGCGCGCGCAGCAGAGCCGATGGGGGACATGGTCCCCGGATACTTGCACGCAAAAGAGGTAACGGGCTGGGCTTTTGGAAGCGATCTTCGTCCTTCATTTCTTTTTTTCACTTAGTCCTAGGCTGGGTTGAGCTTCATGCCTGATTCATTTCTAACGCTGTGCGGCTTTGGATAGTACTAGGGACCGTTCCGTTCTGCTGGGGGCACTGTTCGCTTCATTAATTTGTTGGTTGGCTTTCCGGTATTACACATACGAGAGGAACGCCTGCGTTGCGCTGCCTCTGCCTTTTTGTACTTTTGCATTTCCTGGTTCTTCGTTTGTCTGGACCGCTGCGACGATAACGCGAACTTGCGAAGCCTACGCGCGATATCTTTTCTTGTTTCTATTGTCGTGGGTTTACTTTTGGTCGGACCTCAGCCAAAGTCGTGACCTATTCCGACGACACATTCCGAACGCGAATTGCAGGACCATACATATCTGCGCGGGAACTTGGAAGGATTGCGTTTGCGTGGAACCACGGGACACGAGAAAAGGGAGTGCTTGGTTCGGAAGGACGGTTTGCGACAAGCGCACCCACGAGAGTTGACGACTCGAAACGGATCCGGTTACGACACGAATACCGCCTGAACGGGAGCGCATACACGTCACAAGAATTACAATCGCAGACACAGAATCAAGCGCAAGAGAAGGACACAATGGACGAGAGCAACAGAATCACGATTACAGTGTGCGGTGATGGTGGATGCGGAAAGAGTTCGATTACGCTGCGGCTTGTGAGAAGCCAATGGACATCTGAGTACGACCCAACAATAGGTACATCCCCCTGCGCGCGAATTCGTCGCAACTTGTAGCCTCACACGACTAACACCCCTCCAGAAGACTCATACTCCGTAACCCGAACCGTCGATGGCGTCCCCTACTACCTCATGCTCACGGACACGGCCGGCCAAGAAGAATACCGCGGTCTTTGGGCCGCCTCGAACCTGCAATCCGACGCTTTCCTCCTCGTCTACGATATAACATCTGCCAACTCGCTCGACGCGCTCGACTACTTCATGGAGATGATAGAAATGGAGACCGAGAACCGGTTAGACAATGGCAAGATACCGCCCATCAAGTGCGTGGTAGGCAACAAGTGCGATTTACAGGGCCAAAGACAGGTAGAAGCGAAGACGGGTCTCGAGTGGGCGAGGCGGAGAAAGTGCGGATTTATGGAGACGAGTGCGAGGGAGATGGTCAACATTGAGGAGACTTTTGCGCGTAAGTCCTGCAGCGCAGATGACGGCAGAGACATGGCTAACAAGACGGACAGTGCTCGTACGTCGTGTAGTAGAAGCGCGGAGACTCACTGCCGGAGACGGCCCTGCGAACCGAACTGCCGCTCTTCCCCTTCAATCGCATCCGAACCGCGACCCGAACTCTTCGGCGGCGTATCTGGATAATGAGAAGGATGATGAGGACGAGCCCAAAAAGAGTTGGTGGAGGAGGCTGAAGTGCTGGTAGTTGCATTCCTATGTTGCTACGCATTGCACATAAGTCTCAGGCGTTTACCAATAGCCTGGGGACTTGTCGTTCGTTCACGGGCTCGCTGACATGTGGTATGGGACATGAAGCACGACCTGCTTGTTTTATACACACTTTGCTTTCCCGTTTATTTCCTTGACTTGTATATATGCGTCGATGTTACGGGCGCAAAGCATTTGTATACGCATGGCATGGATATGTCGATTAGCGGGAATGGGGAAACCACGGGATATACCGGGCGGCTGTCTGATTCTTGTTCATTTTCTACAGCGTCTCACATCTTGCGTATGTATATTTCCTTGCATCACTGTCGATTTCATACTGTAAAGAATTCACATCAAGTTTTGAATGAGAACACATACTAGCTGGCGCACGTTGCACATGGACTGGACGCTTTCCGTGGTACGCTTCGCGGATTATATCAGAAGGCTCAATAATATGTATCAGTCAGCAGTAATCGCGATCTGTACCTATAGGATGTAGTGCGAACGATGACCGCTTCGAGGCTAACCACCCCGTCGGCTATCCAAGGCATCGCTAGCGCGTCTGTGCACGAGCACGCCATTGGCCTGTAAAGCCCTTGGACAACTTTGAAAACCCTCGCAATAGCATCAAACTGTTAATACCAACAAAAAGCTACAGGGACATCCTGCACCTGTCGACACTTAGGCAAGGAGCGCAAACAGTGCGTTCAAGGCCGGTGACGTCGTAACTACCCCTCTAAAGGGTCCGTGTTGACGGAGATAAGAGAGCAGCGAGCAAGAAGAGATATCGGCAACACAGAAAGAGCAGGAGCAACATGTCGAAACCTCATATTGAGGAAGAGCTTCCAGTTCAGGATGGTCTTTCTCGAACACTCAAAGACCTCTTCGCAGGTGCAGTGGGAGGAGTTGCGCAAGTCTTAATAGGACAGCCTTTTGGTAAAATCTCTACGAACTGCGTGTGAGACATATGCTGACTTCGCACTTCGACAGACATTGTCAAGGTGAGATTACAAACAACATCACAATACTCTGGTGCCCTGGACGCAGCGACCAAGATCTACCAAAACGAAGGAGCCCTCGCCTTCTACAAGGGCACACTGACACCACTCATCGGAATCGGAGCTTGTGTATCAATCCAATTCGGCGGCTTCCACTATGCGCGACGTGCCTTCGAAGCCAGTAACGAAGCCAAGACTGGAAAAGGTCAATTGTCATACTCGCAATACTATGCCGCCGGTGCATTCGCCGGTATCGCCAATACCGTTCTATCCAGCCCCATCGAGCACATCCGTATAAGACTGCAAACACAACCCCACGGTCCAAATCGTCTCTATGCCGGCCCGATCGACTGCGTGCGCAAACTCTCGGCACACCAAGGCGTACTTGGCGGTGTCTACCGTGGCACAGCTGTCACATTCATGCGCGAAGCACAAGCTTACGGCTGTTGGTTCACCGCCTTTGAGTACATGATGAACGCGGACGCTGCACGCAACGGAATTGACCGGAAGGAGATCTCTACTCTAAAGGTCGCGGCATATGGTGGACTTGCGGGTGAAGTGCTGTGGATCAGTTCATATCCCTTCGATGTACGTTCAAAATTCCCCATGTACGAAGTGCACGTGAGACATATACTGACCTCGTACACCCACCTTTTAGGTAATCAAGAGCAAGATGCAGAGTGATGCGTTTGGCAAGGATCAGAAGTACAAGAGTATGAGGGATTGCTTCGCGAAGACGTACAAGGGCGAGGGCTTGGGTGGCTTTTGGAGGGGTATTGGACCGACTTTGCTCAGGGCTATGCCAGTCTCGGCAGGCACATTTGCTACGGTCGAGGTCACGATGCGATTGATCAGCTAAGAAGCGCTCTTGGTTTCACGAACATCCCCAGATATTGCGGTGGTGGAGCCTGTACGATAAGCCCAGTGCCATAATTGATGGAAGACGCCGTTCAGATCTTTAGCCAATGTTTCAGATGTGCATACGGAGAGTTTGCGATACGTACCATTGGGAGATCGGCCTATCTGTATGCGTGTGCGAAACTATCGACTTCGTAGTGTTCCCATAGTAGCTAGTACGCGTCGATAACACGCCATTGCGTCTGAGCTTGGCTCGGCCTTAGTTCACAGATTATTGCGGTGCGGCCCTTGGGGAACAACAATGTCGTCGTATCACTCAGCCAGCCTCTAAACGCCCTCCACATAGAGCTTACTCAGCCTCTGTCTGTAGCGCGTTCCATCATCATGCTGACTACATACAAGATAGATTACCCTGTAGTCTAGGCACGCAGCACCCTCTCGGATGCAATTTCGCTCCTTCTTGTGCATTACGTCGGGTACCGACGCACCCCTGTCCGCACGCAGCCGTGCCGCATCCCCCCAAGATTCATGCCACAGCCTGCAAGCCACATGCTTTGAGCACAAACTCGAAGGAACCACTCATGAAATTGCACAACCAACTTGAGAAGGTACGGTCGGGGCCGACGGGCGTTGTTCCGCTATTGTGCCGCAGTCCCGCTGCGAACATGTGGATTGGTCCGTAGAACTAACGGGCAGCACCAAACTCTACCTCTTCTCACCCCAAGTCCTGTAACATGCGATGGGAAGTTCCTTGTACAAGAGATAGAGTTTACAGCGAGTTCCAGGAACCTGGCTATGGCCTCGTGGAATTTGCCGAAGAGCTTCCGGGTATGCAAGAACGACTCTTATGCGGCGCGGTTTGCATCCATCGCTCGTCACACGTCACGTCACGTAAGGAGATTACCGTTTTTAGCTTGGGAAGCAACGCATTCGTAGTCACGGCGAAAATCACCGTTATATCGGTGCATATGTTATGATATGATGTCGCTCAATGTCCTTTTCGATCGTTTCGCTCGAATCGCTGCTTCCTCCTCTGCACCGTACCTTCGCTAGACCTTCCAACAACGTGGGCGCGAGAGACGCGCCCGAATCCTACGATACGCGACGACGGACGCGTCAAACGAACGCACAAAATGCTCTTCAGCACGACATTAAAGAAATGGACGTCCAATCTTAAACCCTCAAAGCCCTCTACACAGCCAAACCGACCATCAAAACAAACTCAATCGGACGAGAATCTCATTTCGATGCAACTACCAAAACCGCGATATAATTCCTCGACCCATTCGAACTCCGAAGCTGCGCTTCATCGACCGACGAGTCAGATTGTGTGTCATTCGCCGTTGGATAAAAGGAATCAGACGGGGAAGAAGGGGAGGAGGAGCAAAGCTGAACAGAGTGAGAGAGGGGGTGATGGTAATGGACTGAGGCATAAGACTTCTACACGGGTTTTGTTTTCGTCGACGCAGTTTGATAAGGTGGACGTAAAGAAGCCTGCTTGATGAGAGGTAGCAGTTATGATACATGGGTTTGGACAGCAGGACGGGATGGAACAGCGGGATCCAAAGGGAGAAGCAACATGGAATATGATGCGCAGAGGACAAGCAGAAGCGAATCAGGAACGACAATTTTCTACTACGAAATTATTCTAATTTTTGGCCTCGTTGGATGGACGGTACTCTTCACCATTACTGCCTCCCCGAAACGTGCAAAGATCTGTTCAGTGCTTCGGCAATTTGATCTTCATCAAACCCTCCTGTACTAGTCCTCCTCGGTCCCGAAAATGCTTCTTGCTGACTGAGCTCTATCGCTTTTGCAAGGTCGTCATCGTCATCGCTCCGTGCAACCTGCTCACCATAGTCCTCTCTCCATTCGCCCGGTGAAACTGTTCGTGGTATAGCATTGTCGTTGGCGCCTGGTGTGAGAAGTGGTTCAGCATCGAGCTCGTATAAATTTACGTCCTCGACAAAAGTTGGCGGAAGGTTTCGATGCTGATCTTGATGCAGGAAGTCTTGCATGGGTCTAGGTGGGCCGCGGTTTGCTTCGCTGCGACGCTGAATCCAGTCGGGTACGTCACCTGGCATCTCAGGATATTCAGCGTGTTCATTGCGGCTTGCATAAGAGATGTTGCTGTCGCTTGCAGGTCGATCCATCATGACACTGACACGCGCGCCATGCCGTTTTTCCCGAAGAGACTGTCTCTTGTTGAAGATTTTCGGACGTTCAGGCTTTGGCGAAGCTCCATGGGAGGCTGTAATCATTATTTATATGTGCGATGACACGAAGGATATTAAGCCAGATGGTTACTCACTGGTTCTCTTGAGGGGTTCGCCATCTGCGAGAAGTCGGGGAAATCCGCTGATCGGAAAACCAGACTGCCCGTATCGCGTGGTGCGGTGGTCAGTCAGATGCAGATCAATCGACACGGCTGCACTCTCCGAAGCAACTGGTATGACGATCGAGTCCAGTCTAAACAAACCTCTCTCTGTCATGTCACGAATGGTATGCCTTGTGACTGGTATAGATTGAGCCCCTTCGACGTGCATGGCTTCTTGTATACGAAAGAACGGCTGGAAGTGAGGCAATTGGTGCTTGCGTATGTAGTCACCCAAGTCCCGAAGATTATTGGAACCTGCAGCGAATCTGCATTGGATGTTGCCTTTCAATCATTAGTCAGTCATTTTGATAGATAGAACAAACTCACCCTGCACAATGATATGGTCGTCGGTGGGCCTGGAAGGGCAAGATCTCTCGAAGTAAAATGAACTAGCTACGAGTCGTTGCGCAACGTTCTTGATCTTTTTCTGCGCGCCAGGTTTGCGAAGACCGGTCTTGATCTCCTCCAGTAGATTATCGATCTGCGACTTGTCGTCCATCTTGGGTATCCGACTCATGGTCTTTGGGTTGAAACGAATGTATCGCTCGGCTGCAGCGTACGGGGCCATCCCTACCACGTCTTTACGGAACTCTTTCCATGTGGCTTCCGCATCCAAAGCACTTTCAACCCGTTGTTTGAAGATAGTAAGCCACGATTCGACTTCGGGAAATGCTCTCAGTACAGGCATAGATCGTCTCAAGCGTGGCGTATCCTTCACCTGGCTGAATATCTTCCGAATCTGGAATCGCCTGCTATCGTAACGTGAGGCATTCAGAGAATTGTCGGAATCTGCGCCGTGTTGACCAGTTCCTATGGACAAAAGAAGATCAGGAGGTCGCTGATCGGCATCAGGCCAAAGAAGCTTGCTTTCATAATTGGCGATGCGAACTGGGTTGTTGTGAAAGACAGCACCGTCCACATAACCCTCCATTGTACGTGCGTTTCTGAAAGGCTTGAAGTATGTCGGAGCTGCAGAGGTTGCTCGTGCAGCTTCTCTGATCAAGACATCATTCTTTGGATCATCGGGTCGGACCAACTGGTAGCCAATTTGCTCGTCCTCTGCGCGATTGTAGTTTGTAAATATGACTGCTTGTTCCGCAGTCTCCGTTGCAGAGGTAACAGCGACTTTGCACGCGCTAGCAACTGGAGTGTCACGTTGCCCACCAAACATGGCCTCATCCTTGAAACACTCCTTGAAAGCTTCTTCTAGAGGTTTTGTATGGTATTTGTTAGTTCCCAGGCTTACCCCTCCAAAGAACTTGGGTGTAAACGCCTTCTCCACCATTCTGAGAAAGAGTTGACTGCATTGGTCTACAGACCAATTTTTGACACCAAGACCGAGCGCCAAGATACCCCCGGTACTGGTGCCAACGATGAGGTCAAAGAATTCTTGGACTTTGATATGATCACCTAGCTCCTGTTGTATTTGGCGAAGGACTTCCAGGATGACTATCCCTCGTATACCACCTCCGTCAAGAGACAGAATCCGTAGGCCTGCCAGTGGAGGCTTGAAGTAGATCTCTACTGGTGTAGGAAAGACAGCTTGGTGATCGTGCAGCGGACATGTGGCGATAGTGAAAGATCCTGAGAGTTCCCGATGTGGGCTGCCGTAACCTTTGACACACGCTGTGCAAAGCACGTGTCCGCAAGGCAAGGGATGCTCGGCTAGTTCCCTTAAACAACAGAAACAGGTAGTGTGGCTGACGAAGTTCTTTGCGCCCCCCATGTGGTTATAGAAGCCGGTAACGTTGGCCAAGTGGAGTTTGTTGACCGCATCCTCCTCAGTTGTTGGAGACTTCGTCATTTGCAAATCAAGCTTTGACTTGTTTTCGATCAGGTAATGCTTTAGGTATTCGAACCAGTCTTCATAGAACTTGTCAAATGTGAAGTCTGACTCATAGGGGCCAGATCCAATGACGCTGCCTCTTTGGTTTTGGTGTCCTTTCACATGTCGCTCCTTTACATTGACACATCGTTCACCTCTTCTGTTGATGAAAGAACACGGCCAGAAGATAGCGCAAAAGTCGTCAAGAGCGCCATCACAGTGCGTCATGTATTGTGTTTCCAAAATCTGCTCTGCAGATCCTTTGAGATCCTGTCGAACGCAGTCCAAAAGTATACAAGAGGTCACCATGTGGCTCAGTTCCTTGAAGATCTTCCTGGGGTCGTCGAATTGAGCTTTCATTGCAACGGCCAACTTCAAGACATGACCTCCAAAGTCTTGAGGTATCGGGTTGATCTTGAAGGAAATGTCCATGAAGTCGAATGGTGAATGAAGGTCCTGCGAGAAATGGTCGAATGCACATTGTAGATAGACATTGAGGTTGTCGGAATTGGAAAGCATGCGCGACCGTCGTTTGGCGTTGAATGACTCCAGGCATCGGTGTGTGACGACTTGGTGAAGCTTCGTTACCTGTTGATCAATCATCATATATCGGCCTTCGCCAGGGATCCGTACAACTGTGATCGAAGAGTAGTAACACTCAAGGAGATCCTTCATAGTTCGAATACGTCTGCCTCTTCCAACCCAATAATCTCGCCGCTCACGATATGCTGGATCGCGACTGATAGCTCCGGCGACGTTGGACATAAGAAGCTCTGTCGCGTACTCAGGATCCCACTCC